AAAGATTCAGTGAAAGAAGTTTGATATAATGATCACATATTGTATCAAAAGCATAATAGAAACCTGATCAATCCTCTTTCACTTGAACAATTAACCAAATCTCGCATTGAAATTTGTATCTCAACGGCCTCACATTATTTGTCTTGCTCTTGCTTTCTATGGATGACGCATTTGATGTGAAAATGGTAAATGATTTTGCTTCGGTATGTAGGGTGGTAGTTGAAGCTTTACATGAGGAATCTAAAATTGAGTCAATATTGACACCGTTTGACAAAACCACCGTTTGACAAAAGAAAAGTAATGAATGTTCTTTTTCATTATTCTGAAATATTTCGGCTTTGCTATGTATTATTTTGCATCTTCAGAAATTTTTCGGGGCAGTTAGAGCTGCTGGCGAAATATTTCGGAACATACTGTCTATATTTGGTGTCATGAAACCACCTAAAACTGGTAATTGCTCAGTTAATGTTGATGAATTGAAGAAACCTCTTATAACGCTTGCCGATTTGAAAACCATTTTTAATACACGTAATGATACAACTGTGATGAAGGAGAAGGTAATGGAGAAGTTGGATGAACTGATAAAATATGAAGACTGGAGTCCTCAATCAATAATTACTGATCACTTCTATCAATTACCTGAAGTTCAAGACTGCGTTACGTATTGTCTCACTGCTGATATAGCACGACGTATCAGGAATACTGTCACTTCTAACGATTGCAAGAATGCTTTTGTTAATCCATCTGTCATTCCAACTCTCCCTCAGGGTTCATTTGTTGTAAAATCAGGGCTAATCCATCCTAACACATATCGTTATCGTTTTGTTGTATCCTTGGAAGAATTATTCTTGAAATATTGTGATTCTCAGCATGTTTTTGAATGCATTCTGGATGGTGTTTGTCTAATGAATGTAACTTTTCCTTGCATAAAACATGGGAGTGAGAGATTGATGCAAGTTATCCAATATTTTATTACTCTACGAATGCAACAATACTGCTTACGCATGAATGCAGAACAAAAAAATGAATCAATTGAAAAGGAAATCAGCAAAATTTTATTCTACATGAGATTGAATTAATGCAAATTTGATTGTAAACCATTTTTATCAGGAACTAGTAATTTTATCACTTAAATAAATATTTTATTCACCAATATGATAGCAGTATGTTTTCCTTTCTTTAAAAATACTAAACTCACGTTTCAAACTAATTAGGACCCTAAAATCAAATTTGCCGATATCTCACGACAAAGGCCAACTAGCGCCACTCGGCGCGGCTACATTAACGGCACGGGCTGGATGGCAGAGTGTTACCAAGCCATGAAGTTTATGGCTGTGGCCCTTTCCGGCGCGTGATGCCCTGCCTGGAGGCAAACGCACTGGGAGTATTGGTCACAAACTTGGTGGTGGGAAAGGTAACTAGGAAAATTTTAAATTTATATCATGGACACTTTTTTATAATCAGTACACGTTTTGTTATTTTTTTAATTTAATTTTTAATTTTTTTAATGCTTAATTTTAATCGACTTCACTGAAAAGAAAATACGTACCTGTCTTCATTATTGTAAATGATCAATCTGAACCATCATATAACTTCCATTTTATTTATGAAAAGAAAATGTCCAAACACGTGCAAAAAATTCAATGCATTTTATCCTCGCATTTCAAGCACATGCATGCGCCAGCTCCTAATATGACCCGACCATACAAATATCCGGCATCCCTCGTAATAAAGTCAGGTTCTGTTTAATTGGCGCCTCAATAACGTTATGAATGCAGCTCCAAGCCTACCTGAGGTTCCCACCTTTATTCTGTCAATATTTTAGAGCTGGTATGAGCATCATCCAGATAGCTCAGTGCAGCGTCATACAGTCGATTTAGGAATCCAATAAAGTTTATAATCCAATAACTATAGCAATTTTAAGGGTCATAGTACGATCGGGTGGCGGAAAACATATCCCCGGAAAAAATATCCCGGAAAAAAAATCCCGGAAAAAATATCCCCGGAAAAAATATCCTCGGAAAAAATATCCCCGGAAAAAATATCCCCGGAAAAAATATCCCCCCAATCATACATTTCATTTCTGTCACCCTTTTTTTATGTACATATTTTTCGAAAGGTGGGGGGGCGTAGAGGGGGGTCCAGGGGCGGAGCCCCCGTGGGGTCCATGGGCGACGCCCCGGTGGGGTCCAGGGGCGGAGCCCCCGTGGGGTCCAGGGGCGACGCCCCGGTGGGGTCCAGGGGTCCAAGCCCCCTCCCACTCCCCACATAACACATTAAATCAAAATTTGAGAAAAGAAAAGATGATTTTAATTTCATGGGGAATCGAACCCTTAACCCTTTTATATGTCATAATAAATAAAGAAATTTTTTTCTAAAATTTATTTTGTAAATTATCAAAATTAGGATTTTTAAATATTTATTATTAAGAATTAAATATTAGAATTTTTCTTGGCGATCATTTTTCTGGAGATATTTTTTCCGGGGATATTTTTTCCGGGATATTTTTTCCGGGGATATTTTTTCCAGGGATATTTTTTCCGGGGATATTTTTTCCGGGGATATTTTTTCCGGGATTTTTTTTCCGGGTTTTTTTTTGCGGGATATTTTTTCCGGGGATGTTTTTTCAGGGATTCGTACGATCATAACGATAGGTTATGTGTGTGTGTGGGGGGGGCTAACAGTTGTGGTAGTGTGGAGCGTCTCATGAAGTTTCTAACAATAGGTGAAGTGAGAAAAACAGCCGCCGGGATTCATAAGAAAAAGAAATTAAAAAATCCAAACCTGGACAAAAATATTTATGAATATAATATTCCGTTGGAACCTGGCTCGAATTTGAACGAAAAAAATTAATGATTTTGCCACTTATACAAATTAATAAAATTCTGTTCAGTGTTTTTTTTATTACGTATTTTTGCCCACTCTTGGACAACATATTTGGTACATATCAATAGTGGATACAGTTTTTGCTAAAATTCTGCTAAGTTATTGAACTAAATGTAAGATTACGATTATCCATGCAAAAAGACTGAAATCATTCTGAGAATTCAACATCGTGAATTATTGACATTTGTTAACTTGCTTTTTAAATTATTTGTCCAACAACGACTTCTCCCATAACGATAGAAAAACTATCAGTATCTGCATTTTCTATCGGCTGATGCTATTTCCTTATATACAAAATTAATGTTTTCTTCATAATTCACTTTTTTCTAATTGTCTTTAATTACCAGTTCTACTTCAGTCACTTCTATTTATTGAATGAATAATTACGGGACCACTGGAACATGACATTGTGTAATTTGTTCCTCGCCTTCGAAATTGAACAGACCGTTGTACCGAGCATTGGAGATGCCCGTTATTATCCACATTCAAATTTATAGAGAGAGAGTGGGAGAATAAAAATTTCGGTGGGGATTAAAATAGTTTATTAATTTTCCCCTTCGGGATGGTTTGGGTGTGCGCCAATGTCCCCCATGGCCAACGTCCCCCAATTTTGACATTTGCCTCCAAACAAAAGAAGTTTGAAAGGCATTTGTTTTATAACTTCTCATAGAATTATTTGTTAATTTTGAAAGATTTCTTTTCCTATGAATTCTTCGACTCATCTCAAAACTAGACAGGATTCGAACGTGTTGAAAGAAAATCGAGACATTTTTTTAATCATGAAGTTATCTCGGTACTTGGTGACCCCTCTTTTATCTCGAGATAAATTTGTGGGGTAATTTAGCGCAAGCCATGAATTTATCTCGAGACAAGACGATTTCCAGGTAGCGAGATGATTTCGTGATTAAGAAAATGTTTCGATTTTCTCTCTACAATTTCAAATCCTCTCTAGTTTTGAATCTACTCGAAAAATACATAAAAAAAAACTTTTCAATTAATGACCTTTTATCTTGACGAATTTTATAAACGCGTGATCAAACTAATGCCACCAAACGATTCAATCATTTACTCCAAATTTTGTCATGAATTTATCTCGAGACATGAAATTGAATTTTCAAGTGAATTAATTTATTTTCTCATTTGCATTTACTTTTGCAGATCCTTAAGTATAAAATTATCTCAATACATGTAAATTCAATTGCATGTCTCGAAGTAAATTTATGAGAAAATTTATAGTAAACAATGAATTCTTCTTTTTCTATTACGTTCATATCGAGTCGAAAACAGGGTTTGAAAACTATAAGAGCAAATCGAGACTTTCCTTCATTGAGACTTTGCGGTAAGTTCTGTATTCATGTAGGTAATCATAGTAATTTTCATTTGGCGAATAAAAATTTATTTTCTCTCGTATACCCTTTCGGGTCTTTACGGTTAGTTGGTTCCCTTCCCACCCCCCCAACCCCCTGTACCGCATTTGCTTGAAGGGAGGGAAAAACCTCATCTGAGGGAAAAAACCTGCCCAGGTACAGTCGTCCTTTTGACAGGACTACCGCTCGGCAGTGGAACCGTGAGATCAGAGCGCTATAAATTTTTGACCGCCGGTGCCCGGGATCGAACCCGGATCTCTGGCATGCTAGTCTAGCACTCTAACCGCACGGCCACTACCGTCGGTCATTTGGCGAATAATTAAAATTAAGAAAAATGAAATCACAAGTTTTTTTTTCATTTTTTAAATTTTTTTATATTTTATGTAGGAGTTCCAATCAACTGTACAAATATGTGAAAAAAGAAGAAAAAAAAGTGAATAATAGATGATTTTTTTCAAATTGGGACCGTTCAGCGATTGGAGCTCAGTACTGGCGCAAGTAATTCAAATATTGAACAACAATACGCATGAATTTTTTGTGCGTTATGCATCCGTCGATGCGCGTGACCACATAATCTGTAAATAAAATATGTTAAAATATCAAATTCCAGTGGAAAGTTTTTTTACTGAAAACATTCTTATGTAAATATTAGTTACCAATCTTTACGTCCAGGATAATTAGCGATTATTAACTTTGACCGTATTCAGTTATCTTACTTCACTAGTTCATTACAAAGTAATCATTTACCTTCAATCGCTCTCAGAATTTCTTGGGGGACTCTGGGCCAGCCAGCTCTGCCAGTGACTCTCATTGTTCGTAATTTGTCCATGCCCACGAGCTCAGTTATTAACTTGCGAGTCAGTGCGGAGTCATTTTTTTGTACTTCGTGCAAAATTGCTCTCAAGCGATGTGCATTGATGTAGACATCACGTCCCTCCACAAGTTCCACCTAAAACATGAAGACGATTTTATTTTCGTTCATGTTTTTTAAAGAATTTTCTACCATATCTGCATTGATGTTGACTTGAAGTCTATCAGCATCCTCAGTCTGGATAGATTTTCTAGAAGGACCTGCTTGCTCACGATGTCCCCTTTCCTCACCAGCTTCTGCGTTGTCATCACCTGCCCCATTTTCAACTCCTTCCTTACTCTTGAAAGCTTCATCATCATCAGCTTCACCATTCTTCCGAATTTCTATCGTCTTAAGTTCTGTATCTTCACGCGTTTCGTTATGCTCTACTGAGTAAATTATTGACACCGGTAAATGAATGACCGTATCATTGGAAGGGTAATAATCGTTGCAATCCATGCATATATTTCATTGAAAAACCAAAGAAGAAAGCCAGAAATGAACATACTATTTCTTTCAAAATAAGAAATGTGAAGTATTCACATCATACTCATAATGAATAATATGAAGTTAAATGCATCTAAATCATAATTCTTATATTTTTCATGTTTTCTGTAAAATATGAAGATTTGACTGTAGCGTTCATTCATTCTTTTCATTGTTCAGTAATTAATGTTTTGAGCATATTGCTCACGACAAAAACACGCAAAACTTTACTTTATTTTCAGTTTTTCATCTACTTCATTTTGCGATCTTTGGATACTATTAGCTATACCTTTGTTATAGACCCGAGCGGTTGGGTTCGATGATGGGGATAGATCACATGTAGATAATTAGAAATGAATATCTCGCAGGGAGATTCAACGTTTTAACGATTAAACGATTTATTCAATAAATATAGTCTTTGATTAATGCAGTAAATATCAGGCAATATGAATTACAAGAAAGTGACTCAACAAATAATCGGATTATTAATTGTCTGTGTCTGACAACCTGACTAACTGACCCAGTGGCAACGAACTCCCGAGCTTATATTTCATCGTGGATTCGATTGCAACAAGTGTACTATCTTTGTTTTACACCTGGAGAGACATCGGGTGACGTCCCAGGTGTACGTAAAGGCCGTAGCCGTTGATGGGGCGAAGTGCTGACACTGCACCCCAGTGATCCACATTAAGACGAATATATGTGGACTTAATCCACAAATATTCGGGTTAGTTTATATTACAACATTTACATTCTTTGATTCGATTTTACATGTTTTGGATAATATGTGCCACTTCGCGTGTCGTCATATTATCCAGGTCAATGAGAAATTACCTAATACTACTTCTTAATTTTAATGGTATTTCTGGGGCATAACATCCCTCCCCGCCAGGGAAGAAAATTTCTACTCTTAGGAATTTTCTACTTCATCCCCAGACTTTGATTTGATACAATCAATAGATATTTTTTAACATCTCAACAGTCTGTCGTTGTCTTTTTCGGCCAAGGTTTCCGACACCAGCAGTAAAGGGCTAACCCTAGGACAACTGCTAGTATCACCATTACTCCGGTAAATATTGATGAAGGGTGTGTGAAGAATTCTCGATAGTCAAAGTTCTTCTGCACCGTTTCCAGGTTTTCCTTCTCCGCTTTCAGCTGAACTTGAAGCCCTTCCAGTTCCTTGATGTTCGGTAACTGGATGTCACTTATGCTCCAGTTTTGTTTGTTGAGTCTAGCGATCATGGTGTCGTCCAATGTCAAATTTAATTTCGGATGAGCATGGGTATTGATGGTTATTTCATGTGCTTTCCGACCTCTGATAGTGAAATCCGAGGCGACTATCTCACAAAAATTATCAACTCTTAAAATCCCCGAATATTCTAAGACATCTCTAACTTCTTTGCCACCACAGTTTGCTACTATTCCTTCAGGCTCTGGAGCTATGTAAAACCATATGTTGTCTTTCCTCATTTTAATTAGAGTGAGCCATTGAAGCTTCACGTGCTTCACTTTACAGATACAAGGCATTTTTTCTGGACTCATGTACATTTGTACTTCACATGGACTGTTTTTTCCTATTTTTTGGATAGGATAGTCTCAGTGCATAGATATTGTCCACTTATTTGTTTGCAGTTTTTGAATTGTTCACCGGTCATTGGCACGAACTGTTGCGTTGGCCCGTGTATAACCAGAAATTCATTCGTCACCTCCAAGTATGAGTGATATTCGTTCGTTGTCCGAACCGGAATGCTATGTGTCAGCAAAACATCGAACAACTGAAAGTTGATCAGCGGTATTTCTATCATGGTCACAATTTTTAATCCAAATGCATGTACACCAATAGTTGAAATCTCCTCAACCAAATGAATTCCTCCTATTTTTAACTCAAGGGGAAAACTGAACCCCTTTGGTAATACAGCTGTCTTGAGTAGGTTTACTAATTAGTGTTCCGTGAATATTTCTGTGCTCAACAACATTCCCTTAGAACCAGTTAGAAATTTCTTTATCTTCGCAGCATCACTGATTACTTCGGTATATATGGCCTGTATGGTCATGAAGTGCTCATCTATCAGTTGCCGATGCGCTAATTGTTCATTTTCGCTGTTTATCTCTGTAAGTGATTTGATCAATATATTGTCATTTCTATGAAACATGGCTTCCGTCCGGGCTAATTGAAGAAGTGTGGAATTGACGATTTCCAGTTGTTTCCGGGAACTGGCCAATGACCCTTTTACTCCCCTTTCTAGATGCAAAAGTCTCTCATTGATTTCCTTGGCATCTTGAGCATCCATAGTCCCAATTAATGATTTTGCTACGGAACCCAGACCGTCAATGAGTCCTCGGCGTTTCCTATTAATTTTTAAGCCAAGTAATTCATCAATGGTATCTGCTGTTTCCGTAAAACTAGCAATCCATTGATCCGCGATGAGATCAAAGTTATGTCCCCATGGACCTGCTCTAAAGCAAAGAAGTTTTGTGTAGTTTAGATGGTTTCGAAGTTGATTAGCTCTTCTCTGCCATGGTGCGATATCCGTAGTTGCAGCCATAGACCAAACCTGGTTGCTTAAATGTACTTTCCCAATTGGTTCAAAATAAATTCCTGGCGTGTGGACAAACTTCTCAACTATATGTCCCTTCCCCCGTATCATAACCATCATGCTTCCGAGTATGAGCAGTTGAAAAAAAATAATTGCAAAATTGAATGGTGTAGCAACACGAAAGGTTCTTGAACTTGAGTTTCTGCGTGTCCTCATTGCCTTGTAATTTTTGTTGACGTAGATATTGGCTATATAAAGCTCGTTTTCCCCCACTTGTCACAGTGTATTTGAAATTCCGAAGCCAAAAGTTAGTGAGAACCCATAACGTTAACATGAGTTCAAAGAGTGATTCAAAATACGGGCCAGTAGAACGTCCTGATCGTTTTACTCGAAGATGTACAACCTGTGGTAAGCTTGGACATCTTCCCTCGGATTGTTTTCCAGCCTGCTTGGTTTGTGGACTTATTGAAGACCACAGATCAGTACTGTGCCCTCGGAATCCATGTCCAACTGGCTCCGAAGCAGTAGAGAACGTTGGTAGTCGGCTTGGTTCTCGTGTTTCACGTTCAAGCCAACGACTGCATCCGTATCGTAGACATGCTGATGACGCTTTTACTTTTTTTTTCTTGGTGAGCCCGTACATCTTGTTAATTTTTATATTTGCCTGTTCCGTTGCGAAATTCGTTTGTCCTAATCTTCGTCTATTTTCCGGCTTTTTTAGTGCGACAGTTTCCCCTTTCAAAAAGGGTATGTTCATCTCGGGTATAAGGCATATGTCCGTTTCTGTAAAACTAAGCAGAAAAAGGATCTCAACGCCCTTTGAGATCTCCCGGTCATTGAAGATGATCTGGAGGACATTTTTAATCTGCGGCTGCTGTTCGGTAAGGTACCTGTTCCACAACCATGCCGTGCATATCAGCAATTGAAAGATGACTCCACTATCTGTCCTGGTTGCTCTTGCTACATCTGGTGTCCACCGACATATTTTTTTTTGGGGTGGAATTGGCACGTTCGTTTCGTTAATAAATCTTATGGTGCTTCTTTTGAGAATCTCTCCAACTAATATTTTAAATAAATAAATATTAAACGTGAAATTCTCTGCCTGTGCCATGATATATTCCTTATCTTGTAGATAAGAAAATTTCAGGTATTCTAAACATAATATTTCCTGATGCTGGGGTCCATATAATCATGCTTCTATGAATGGACGGAGTCGATTGCCATGAACTCTTTGTGTTTTTTTCTTGTTTCCGCTTTTAATCGTATAGTTCACCTCAGAATTTTTCTCGATGATCTCCTACGGACCAATCCAAGGTTGTGTAAGCTTTTTCGATCGTCCTCGTCGTAGAACATCGTTTTTGAGCAGAACTTTATCTCCAAGTTCAAAATCCACAGGCTCTGCATCCTTGTCATACTGTAACTTTGATTGCCCTTTAACTTTGTCAAGGGTTTCCTTTGCCTCTCGATGAGCTGCTCGTAATCTCTCTCGAAGTTCTTGAGCGAAATCATCGTAAGAATACGTCAGACGGGGTGGCTGCTTGATGGCTGTCGGTAATTCAGCTCGCCTTTCAAAAATTAACTCGAAAGGTGTGACTTTCGTAGCTGTATGGGGAGTAGTGTTATATGCAAACATAGCATAAGGTAACCACACGTCCCAGTCCGTTTGATGTTCCTCAATAAAACTTCTTAGATATTCAGCTAAACTGCGATGTGACCTCTCCACAATGCCATTTGTTTGTGGATGGTAAGCTGTAGTCTGTATTTTCTTTATTCTGAGAAATTTACAAACATTTTTAAAAACTTCGCCAACGAAATTTGGTCCTTGATCTGTGAGTAGTTTTTGTGGTGTTCCGTACTCACAAATTATTTTTCTGCAAAGGCTCGACCAATAGTATTAGCTTCTTGGTCCGGGATGGGAATAGCCTTGCTGAATTTTGTAAGAGCATCCTGAAACGTTAGAATGTATTTATTTCCTGAGATTATGATGGGCAATGGACCTACTATATCCATGGCACATTGCTCAAATGCAACTTCAGGACTTTTCCCAATTATCATTGGAACTTTCGTGACTTTTCCCAATTATCATTGGAACTTTCGTGACTTTTCCCAGCTTATTTAGTTGACATTCTTTACAACTCCCAACGTAGTCCTGTACATCAGCTTTCATTCCTTTCCACAAATATTTTTGTTTAATTCTCGTGTACATTCGTTTAATACCAGGGTGACCAGAAATCGGTGTATCATGATATTCCTTCAATATTGTCGGAATGTCTACGTCAGCAGGTGTAATGACCTCATCGACGGAGTCAGAAATTTTTAGTGGTTTTTTCTTTGCTTGTGTTCGAGTTACGATGTTAATGTGGCTCAAAGCGTCAGCATTGGTATTTAATTTATCAGGTTTATGTACCACCTCATATTCATACTCTTCTAGTAGTATTCTCCAATGGATGAGTCTTGATCCTGGATCCTTGACGCTGAAGATCCATCTCAAGGTCCTATGATCTGTTACTACTGTGAATTTTCGACCATATAAGTAGGGTCTAAAATGTTTAACTCCTCATACTACGGTCAATAATTCCTTTTCTATTGTACTGTAGTTTTGCTCAGCCTTATTAAGAGTTCGACTAACGTAAGCAATTGGTAGATCCTTGCCTATTTCTCCCTGTGAAAGTACAGCTCCTATAGCCTTGTTCGACGCGTCTGTTGTAAGCAGAAATTCTTTTTCAAAGTTTGGATACTGCAATATTGGTGCAGTGATCAGACATTTCTTGAGACTTTCAAAGACATTTTGTTCTCTTTCTCCCGAAATCCATTTGATGTTCTTCTTTAATAACTCAGAAAGGGGTTTAGCAATTTTTGAAAAGTCCTTGATAAATTTCCTGTAGTACCCTGCCAGTCCCAGGAAAGACATAATATCTTTCTCACATTGGGGAACTGGAAAATTAGATACGGCTTCTATTTTACTAGGATCTGCAGTGATTCCGTTCTCAGAAATGATATGTCCGAGGTAAACGACTTCTTTCCTTAAGAAATTGCATTTATCTGGTTGCAGTCTCAAATTCGCTTCTTTCAGACGCTGTAGAACCTCTATTAGCCTTAGATTATGTTCTCTTAGGTTTGAACCGAAAATTACGATGTCGTCTAGATAAACAAAACATCGTATTCCTTGAACTCCAGCCAGAACAGAATTAATCAGCCTTTGGAATGTGGCAGGTCCTCCTTTAACCCCAAACGGCAATCTATTAAATTCATGATGTCCATAGGGTGTGGAAAATGCCGTTTTACATTTTTCTTCCTCCTTTACAAGTATTTGATGAAATCCTGAAGCCAGATCCAGTGTTGAGAAGTATTTAGCATTGCCCAAACGATCTAAAATCTCAGAAATGATAGGCAAGGGAAATTAATCGCCAATAGTGACCTCGTTAAGTCGTAGGAAATCTACTACCACACGAAATTTTACTTTCCCTGATGCATCCATTTTTTCAAGATACGCGATAGCGTATCTGCCAAGTTGAGGTCACAGGCAGAGGTGACGCCACAGGCAGAGAGCTGTCATGTATTATATTGCAGCTAACAACTCGCCCCTAACCCTTTAAAAAAACTTCAATTGCTTTTTTCCCCTTTAAACGCACGCTATTTTGCAAAAGTATCCTTAGATACATTATATATATCGCGGTTGATCTTTCTGATGAAATTTTTACTTTTTTCACTTATTACATTATTACAAAAATAACTCCATAACAACGGATACGAATTCACTTTTTCAAGAGTTTTATTTCGAGAGCGTCACTATTCCCTAGCGCTGTTTGGGTGGGCTGTTTTAGGGAATAAAACTAGTAAGTTGGAGGAAATTGTCTGCGCTTACGGATTTCATCCGCACGAGTCCGTAGCGGTGGCGCATGAACTAGGATGGAGCCCGTGCTTGTAAGCCAATCAAAGAGCGTCAAGTCATTTAATATTTGTGACTTACTCTTTAACAATTGGAATCGATTGTTAATAATTTAATGATTCGAATATTATAACCAAATTAAAAATTTTAGTTCAGTTAAAATTAATTACCCAAATAACCTAATATTTGTGAGATACTCTTTAACAATTGGAATCGATTGTTAATAGTTTAATGATTTGAATATAACAACCAAATTAAAAATTTTAGTTCAGTTAAAATTAATTACCTAAATAACTTGATATTTGCGAATTACTCTTCAACAATTGGAATCGATTGTTAATACCTTAATGATTTGAATATAACAACCAAATTAAAAATTTTAGTTCAGTTAAAATTAATTACCTAAATAACCTAATATTTGTGAATTACTCTTTAACAATAGGAATCGATTGTTAATAATTTAATAATTTGAATATAACAACCAAATTGAAAATTTTAGTTCAGTTAATTTTTCAATATTTACAATATGAACATTTGAATCATAAATTAATTAAACAGACAATTTAATGTTTGTAAATGACCCTTTAACAATTGGAATCAATTGTTAATATTTAATTTCAATATTGCACCTAAATTTACTGCAATAAATTAAAAATTTTCAGTGCTTCAATCTATGAGCATTTTTATCTTTAATAAATTACCTAAATAACCTAATATTTGTGAATTACCCTTTAACAATTAGAATCGAGTGTTAATATTTGAATTAAAATATTACCTCCAAATTTAAATTTTTTATGTGATATTTTCCAATAATCAACTTGAATGGCTGAATAAAAACTAAAACATGAATATTTAAATTATATTTCGTTGAGAAAAATTACTATGATGACCTAACACATGTCAGAGAGGCTTAAATCAGGTACCAATACTTTTGATTGCATCATTTGTTTGGTAATTATTAACATAAAAAAAAAATCATAAAAAAAAGTTGTGAACAAATGGCGCCAAGTCGACGCTGATTTAAACGCAAGTTAGAAGCATGGGACAATAACTGCATGGATGAAATCACACAATTTAAAAAAAAATCATATAAATATAAAATTTAAAAAATCACAAAAAAAATTTGTGAAAAAATGGCGCCAAGTGGACGTGAATCTGATCGCCTCCAAGACAGAAACAAGGGACAATTATTGAATAGTTGAAATCACACAGTAGGCGAACTGATTATGATATAATCTTATTTTTGAAAAAACATGGAAATATTAAAAAATGCCAAGTTTATGCTGACAGCGTCAACTAGGACAATTTTCCGCAGTTTTGGTTCCGATTGGAAAATCGGTTATTGTTAATAAAGGCTTTTGTAATTTCGGCTGTAAGACAGTGTTTTACGGCTGCGGTACTTTGCTTCGCGTCCACGAAACGCTGACTACGGCTGTTATGACAAAAAATAGTGGGCGTCATACGGCCAAAAAAAATTTGTCGACCAATATGATTGTTGCAAACCTCATATTCGCTAGGAAAGTTTTTTTCGCACAATGACAAAATATAATGTTTCAAACCCCGTCCATAGACCATAAAACCATAAAACCATAAAACACTGTCTTACAGCCGGAATGACAAAAGCCTTTATTAACAATAATCGATTTTCCAATCGGAACTAAAACTGCGGAAAATTGTCCTAGTTGACGCTGTCAGCATAAACTTGGAATTTTTTAATATTTCCATGTTTTTTTAAAAATAAGATTATATCATAATCAGTTCGTCTAATGTGTGATTTCAACTATTCAGTAATTGTCCCTTGTTTCTGTCTTGGAGGCGATCAGATTCACGTCGACTTGGCGCCATTTTTTCACAAATTTTTTTGTGATTTTTTAAATGTTTAGGGTCTACAAGTAGAGGTGCATTCCATTTACTTTTACTTGGACGTACAACTCCATTTTGCAGCATTTCTTTGACCTTACGACCAACTCCTTCTGTCTGTGATTCTGGTAACCGATGAGTTCTGACGCTTATTGGCGCTGTGCCTTGTTTTAACGGGACCTCATGTTCTAGGTGATCTGTAACTCCTGGAGAATCTCCCGGTAACTGCACGATTGAGTTGTATTCTTCTAAAATCTCCAAACGAGAATTTTTCTCTTCTTTATTTAGATGATCAATTCTCGAATTCTCTTGCAGCAATTTAATACGATCCTGTTTTCCCGACTTCTCCAGCTTCATAATTATTTTTTCTGTTAATAATTGTTCCAATTTCACTGTTGGCGGATCTATAAAAACATCTCTTCCATTAGTGTTAATAATGCAAACAAGTGCTTTACCATCTACCTCCTCTGTCAAACATTCTCCCATAAAAACACCTTCTGTTAGCTGTTTTTTCTGAAATATACCGGTTTTCTCACTGTGTGTATTGACTTGAAGCAATACCTCACTTCTAGCCTTGATTTTTATAGGCTCCTTATCATGGTAGAAGTCAAAAGGATTTCCGTTAATGACCAAAGCCTTTCCATGGATTGTTTCTACTTTTAAACTGGATGAAGATAAGAAATCTTCGCCTAGAATTCCCCCAATGCACGGGAAAGTTTCAGGCACAACCTGAAACGTGTGTCCCAGGGGTTTTCGCCCAATCTTCAAGTAAATAATTACTTCTCCCAAGGTTGGTACATCCTGATTGGATATTCCTCTTAGAACTCGATAGCCAGGTGTTATTTTAATTCCTGAATTAATTTCATCTTTTCTTATGAGTGATGTTTTTGCCCCCGAATCGGCTAGAAATAATGTAGGCTGTTTCAACTCGTCTCCTGTTAGCAATATTTGTGATTCAATTTCCGCAGATGGTGCTGGCTTTATCATATGTCCTTTATTAAATTTTGAGGGTTTTCCCTTTCCTTTCGAAGGTTTTATCATCATGACTTGATACGCTCCGACTGGTAAGGCTTTCTCTTCATCGCTTTTTTCAGTTTTCTTCTTTAAATTATGATTTAAATTACTTTGCTTAATATTTGAACCATCTGTTTTAATCAATGCTGCTGGAATTTTTTCTGACTCAGCAATTCCCAATCGTTTTTTTCAGTTTTCGACAATCAGTGACCTCATGCCCTGAATATCTGCAATATTTACACACCACTCCGAAAGCGTTGACGCTGCGTCGTTCTGACGCAACTGGTAATGACCTACGTGGTGCCTGTGAACTGCGACAAGGTATTGCAAGGTGACCTCCTTGTCCACAACTGAAGCAGGTTCAGGATTGTTTACCCATAGAATTCCTATTTCCTCCCGTTGAGTGTCTTTGCGTATTTAAAATTCCTCCTATTTTTCCCTTATGAGGGCCAGAAATGGTTTTCTCTAATTCTATAGCCGCTGCACATGATTCATGAAGAGTTTTTAAGTTATTAGCACGCACTAGAATCTGCAATTGTCCTCGTAACCCTTGTTCAAACATTAGTTTAGCAAGAGTCATCATGAGATTTTTAGAGGCTAATTTTTCTTGTTCAGTGAATTCACTGTGCAGACTGAGTAGCCCATTCAAGAAGTCAATAGTCACCTTCTCTGTGCGTGCTACGTATTTAGCGACATGTTCATTTTCTCTTTGCTGCAATTTGTTGAATTCGGCCTGAAGTCGCACGAGACTCTTGGTTTTCCCGAAGAGTGATTCTAATTCAGCCTTCAATTGTTCAAATGATGAAATAGTATTTCATCTGTTTCATGGCATAACCTTCTAATTTACTCCCTAGAATTCCTTCTAGGAGAAGGATTCGAAGCTCTGGATATACTAATTTCCTAGTGCTCTCCACTGAGTGCAAAAAACAAACTAATTTATCTGCATTTTCTCCACCGAAACTACGTACCATTTGAAGTGCAGCCTTTAAATCAAGATGTGCTTTCACAGATTCGCGATTTCTCCGGTTATTTTCCTGTGTCCAGGCATCTTCTAGGAGTTCTTTGTAATCATTTCGTTCCTACTCAACCTCTTGTCGGTGTAATCGCTCAGTTTCTAGGTGTTGTCCCATTTCGTCAATTTTCGTGTGTAATTCGGCCACATTGTTGCGAAGATTATCGAAACGTCGAGGTGGTCGTTCGGCCGATTGTTTCACATCAGGTTGTATTTCACGATTTTCACTACCAGGATTAGGAATGAAACTCCCTGCCCTTATTGAGCCTGCACGAAAAAACACATTAGGTGTAGAAAGCGACTGAAGAGGTGTATCGTCCTTTTCTACTTCTTCTTCTTCGCCCTCCTGAAGTTGCTCGATCACGTCGAAGGGATTTCCAGGCACCTCTTGTGAAGGATCCGCTAGTCGAGGTTGTCCAGTTCCTTCGTTATTACCGGAAAGAGCTCTTAATTCTCTCCTTCGCGTACTATTTGCTATTCCAGCACCAGGTAGTTCATCTGGCAAAACGTCGTCATTTTCCTGATGAACGTCGGCCTCAACCGGCTGCTGATTATCCGCAGTGAGCATACTGTGATGGAGTGATTGGCTATCACTCCGTTGCAGATTAACATTTCTATTAATGTTTCCATCTGAATTGAATAAATTTCTTCTCACTCCGCGTGTTGTGAATGAATACGAATCAAATTCAGATTGCTCTGGTCGACTACCATCTCTATTAGTCGACATAGTTGATTATTAACTCTTGGCCAAATAAAATAATCTTACTTGAATTGTAGCTACTCCTTG